AGCCTTTTTTCTGTCTCCCAGGCAAAGGTGTCACCTGGCCTCTAACCCCTTCCTGGGTTCTCATGTTACATGCTCAGGTATGTTCCCTTGGTCAGTCTCCCATCCCCCCATGCAGACTATCCTAGCCACACTCCCCTGTCAGCATTCACAGACCACAGTCAGAACAGTCCCAGTTCGTCACATCTCTCCCCCCTTTGAGACCGAACTGAGCGGGGTCACTTTAGCCAGTGACCTGGGGAAGTTCGAATCTACCCCCGTTCCCATGGATGCCCCAACATCCCTCCCATTCCTTGATGAGAATTACACCAGGCCCCTCCAGTGTGTCCCCCCACACTCCGTGACAGTTGGACGTTAGGAAAAAGTTCCTAACTGGTTAAACACTGGAATAAATTGCCTAGGGAGGTTGTGGAATCTCCGTCTCTAGAGATATTTAAGAGTAGGTTAGATAAATGTCTATCCGGGATGGTCTAGACAGTATTTGGTCCTGCCATGCGGGCAGGGGACTGGACTCGACGACCTCTCGAGGTCCCTTCCAGTCCTAGAGTCTATGAATCTATGATGGTCCCCTCTGGGGGCCCCAGCCCATGGGGAGGGAGCCCAGCACCCTGACCTTGTCTTCCCACCCGGCAGCCCGGCCCTCCCTGACCCTGCAGACAGTGGTGACACCGGCGGGGCTGGGCGCCCTGCAGGTCCGGGTGAGTCGCTACTACCCCCCCAACATCACGGTGGAATGGCTGCGGGACAGGGCGATCCTGCACAGCATGGAATCACTCCCCACACGGGCACCGGACGGGTCCTTCACCCTCCGCAGTAGCTACATCCTCGACCGCCCAGAGCCCGACACCCGGGTCGCCTTCACCTGCCGCGTGCAGCACCCGGCGCTGCCCACCCCGCTGGCGCAGAGCGTCACCTGGAAAGGTGAGTGTGACGGGCGGGGGGTTGGGGTGGGGGAGTGTCTTTGACGAAGTGGGGATTTTCCCTTGTTACGTTGTGTTTAAAAAAAAAAAATCTTTTTGCTTAAGAATTAGGTAAGCATAGATGATATTGAAGGGGGGTTATTTGTGGTATTGGGAAGACTGACAAGCAGCTTCAAAAATATGGTGCCATAGTGGCCAGTTATATACATTCTTTTATTAATTTATTTGCATTTATTTGTACATACAGAGACAGACGTCATAAGTCAAGACAGAACCCCAAACAAAGGTAAAAATAAGAACAGTGCGTACATATAGAGGTTATTTTATTTGCATTCAATTTGTATGGGTATTTTGTGGAAGAAGGAGGCGGGGGGGTAGGGATGAGTGCTCACAGACATCCGGTGGGTTGTGAAGGGAGGGTCAGCGTTGTTCTTTTTTACTATTAAGCTGAGCTAAGTTACTAGGTATTGACAGAAACTATGTCCTTGCTTTTTAGCAGATTCTGTCTTTTTTTGCTGGCTGAATTTTAACTCCTTCCTAACAGTTGTATGCGAGTTTTACTGTTTTGCATGAATACGGTTTGTGCCTCAGTTTCCCTGTGTGCTGCACCAATACCTCGGTGGTGGGAATAGGGGTGTGTGACTTTGGCTGAGACCTCTGGGGCAGGTGAGGCTGGGCCAGCTATGACTGGTGCCCTTCCTAACCTGAGACACAGGAGGGGGGTGTGACCAGGTGACTGTCCGGAAAGTGAGACAAAGGAGGAGGAGGAGGAGCAATGGGGGTGTTGGAGGTGGAATCGCTGGAAGTTGGCAGTTTGCTTGGGGGGAATGGAAGAGGGGAAGTCCAGGCCGTCTGGCCCACGACTCCCCAAGATGGACTGGGCTGAAAGTCACTGATTTCTGTGCTAACAAGCTCTGTCCTACGTTGTGTTCCTGTCGTCTAATAAACCTCTGTGTTACTGGCTGGCTGAGAGTCACGTCTGACTGCGGAGTGGGGGTGCAGGACCCTGTGGCTTCCCCAGGACCCCGCCGGGGTGGACTCGCTGTGAGAAGCGCACGGAGGGGCATATGCTGAATGCTCCCAGGAGAGACCCAGGAGGTGAAGCCATGTGAGCTTCTTGCCCTGGATGTCAAGTATCAGAGGGGTAGCCGTGTTAGTCTGAATCTGTAAAAAGCAACAGAGGGTCCTGTGGCACCTTTAAGACTAACAGAAGAATTGGGAGCATAAGCTTTCGTGGGTAAGAACCTCACTTCTTCATGTTCTTACCCACGAAAGCTTATGCTCCCAATACTTCTGTTAGTCTCAAAGGTGCCACAGGACCCTCTGTTACTTCTTGCCCTGGAGACAGTCTCCTCCAAGGAAGAGGAGGCTCCCCAGAGTCCTGACTGGCTTTGTGGGGAGCAGTTCCAGAGCATCGCCCGGGGACTCCGTGACATGGTCTAACACCCCCCCAGGCCTAGCCGGCCTCAGCATCGCTCCGCCTGTGCTGCCCCCTTCCCTGGCATTGGTCCCTCCCTGCTCCCCCAACTGTGTTCAGATGACCAGCCTCCACTTTCATCTGCTCCCACGGGCGCCGGGGAACCTGTGAGCAGAGTCTGTCTCAGCCTAGGGCAAGGTGGGTGGGTGGAGCCCATTGCTGGAGGGAGCAGCCTGCTTCGTCTGTCTCTGGTTTTGGTGCTTCTGGGGCATCGTCCTGGGCTCCAGACACTGAACCCGAGTCACGCCGCAGCCCCCGGCAGGAGCCTGGATGGTCTTTAACTGCTCTGGGTGTGGGGCTGGGAGCGGAGCAGTAACGCTGTGCCTCTCCCTCGCAGGACCCGAACCAAGCCCAACTCGGGTCTGGATGTGGTTATGGCTGGCCATGGTGCCCCTACTGGTCGTGGTCTTGCTGTGCATCGGGTACTGGAGCTATCGCATCAGCAGTAAGTGGGCCCAGACCCCGTCCCCGAGGGGTTCCTCCTCCCTCCCCAGCCTCATGCGCTGCGCTCCCCTCCCCCACCACCCCCTCCCTCCGCCTCATGCCCTTCCCCCGCCTCCCCTTCCCCACGCCCTCCTCCCTATGGGCTCCTGCCCTTCCCCTGCCCCATGACCCACTCCCTCCAGCTCACACCATTCCCCCGCCTCCCCTTCCCCACGCCCTCCTCCCACTGGGCTCACGCCCTTCCCCCCACCTCCCCTCCCCCACGCTCTCCTCCCTATGGGCTCACACCCTTCCCTCTCCCCCACACCATCCCCTCTCCCCCCAGCCCCACAGCTGCCCCCACCCAGCCTGACGCGCTCACCTCCCCGCAGTGTCCTCGATCCGTGCCTGGGAGTGTTTGCCGGAGGGCAGCGCGACAGCACTGCTCTGCGAGGCGGAGGGGAGGCTCCGCGACACAGACAGCCTGACCTGGAGGAGCAAGCGCCAGGGGAAGGAGCTGGGGGCTGGGCAGCCCGGGGAGCTGAACACGCTGATGCCGAAGCTGGAGCAGCACCGCGTGGTGACGTGGCGGCGCGACCTCGGGCTGGGCAGGCGGCGGCTCACGTCGGTCCTCACCATCCAGACCCCGCGCGAAGACGACACTTTCAGCTGCACGTTCCAAGGCGCGAGGGGCATGAAGCAGACACACATCACAATCCCCGGCGTGCTGGCGGGTGAGCAGGGCACGGACTGGGGGAAAGGGGCTGTGGGGGTGGCAGATCAGCGCAGCGGGAGCAGGAGGCTGTGGGGTGCAGGGCTGCAGGGGCATGTGTAGATTGGGGTGCCATGGGGAGACAAGGAGATTTGGGGCATAGGGGGCACAGAATGCAGGGGGAGGGGAAGGGGGTTCTGTTGGATATGGGGTGTAGTGGATGTCACGGCGTCCCCGGGCGATGCTCTGGAACTGCTCCCCACAAAGCCAGTCAGGACTCTGGGGAGCCTCCTCTCCCTCAGAGCAGACTGTCTTCAGGGCAAGAAGCTCACACGGCTTCACCTCCTGGGTCTCTCCTGGGAGCATTCAGCCTATGCCCCTCCGTGCGCTTCCCACAGCGAGTCCGCCCTGGCGGGGTCCTGGGGAAGCCACAGGGTCCTGCACCCCCCACTTCTCAGTCAGACGTGACTCTCAGCCAGCCAGTAACACAGAGGTTTATTAGTCGACAGGAACACGGTCTAAAACAGAGCTTGTAGGTACAGGAAACAGGACCCCTCCATCAAGACCATCTTGGGGGGTGGGGAGCCCAGACCCCGGTGCCGGGCCTCCCCCATCTCCCCAGCCAGCTCCAAACTGAAACCCCTTTTTCCTGCCTTCCGCAGCCACACACCCCAACTCCTCCTGCACCTTTGCCTAGTTTCCCTGTCAGAAGTTGTCACCTGGCCCCAACCTCCTGGACTCAGGTTATGAAGATCAGCCTAGTCTACAATCTGTTTACAAGACAGGAAGGCTGGTTACACGTGATCCCCCCCCACCCCACCCCACCGCCTGCCCCTCCCCAGCATGAACCCTACAAAGTCAGGAAGCGCCAAGTTCTGGGGCAGCTCCGAGCCGTCGCCTGATGCTCCCACAACATGTTTCCAGGGGCGGTGACAGACTCGCACCTCGCAGGGGAGCTCCTGGGGCCTGGAAGGGATGTGCCCAGCCGCTGGGACGTGCC